AAAAGTAAAGGTAGATAAATTTGATTACCTAAAAATTAAAATTTCTTTATATACATATCATGAGCAAAGTAAAAATCCAATCCATATAAAAGGAGAAAATAACTGAAACCCATACAATCCACAAATAATCAGTTTGCATAATAACAGGAAATTCCAATGAGGCTATAACAACAACAAAAAAGAAACAATTAGGAAGAAAAAGAGGCAAGAATACACACTATTCAAAGACAGAAAAACCTTAGAGGTTAATAAATATCTGAAGATTCTCAACCCCATTACCAACCAGAAATATGAAAATGAAAATTAAGTGAAAGCTCATTTTGTACTCATCATATTGGCAAAAAAACAGTGAATCTTGTAACATTAAATACTGGTGAAGATGTGGAGAAACAGAGTCATAAACCTTGTTCGTGCCACCACTTTGAAGAGCAGTAGGGGAAAGCCTTGATCCAGCCATTCCCTAGATGTCTACTCTAGAAAAATTTTACATGAACAAGAAAGTTGGTACAAAGTTGTTCATTGGTAGAATGGTAGCATTATTTTGTCATAGCTGAAAAATGAAAACATCTTACTCTAAGTAGAATAATGGATATCCTCTGGTTTGTTGATATAACATGTTGTATATAGCAGTTAAAATTAATGAACTAGATCTATAACAAACTGTCTATCTCAATAAATCTTTAAAACGTAAAATACTGAATGATAAAATCAAGTTGTGAAAGAATACCAACACTATGATGCCTTGTATGTTGAGATTTTAAAACACACTAAACAATAGTTTAAACTGTTTTAGGATGCAGTTATATGAATGATATCTGTGGTTCTCAACCAAGGGTGATGTTGCTCCAAAGATATATTTGGCAATGCCACGACTGGAGGGGGATGCAGCCAGTGGGGAAAGGTCAGAATGCTGCCAAACATCCTACAATGCAAAGGACAACCGTTTCTTGTGTACTTACAGTCTGCACGGAAGTATGTTAGCTACACAACGAGAGAAAGTTATAGAATCTTGCCTTTTCAGGAGATTTGGCAATCAAATTCAGGGCACCAGACATAAAGTGAAACAGGAAATCCAAATAGCAGTGGTTTAAAGAAAACATGGATTTGTCTCTCACGCATGGGAAATGTGAAGAGCCATTATATTGGCTCCGCACTGTCACCAGGGACCCAGGCTCCTTCCTGACATCTACTTCTTTAATATCAGAGTGTGGGTCTCACCATCGCACGGATCAGAAGATTGTTAGTCGATTAGTCACCATGACTACGTTCCAGGCATAAGGAAAAAAGAAGAGCCAAAGGCCAGTGCTAATGGCATCAGGCCCTCTTTTTTTTTTTTTAATATATTTTATTGATTTTTACAGAGAGGAAGGGAGAGAGATAGAGAGATAGAAACATCGATGAGAGAGAAACATCGACCAGCTGCCTCTTGCACACCCCCCACCGGGGATGTGCCCCCCGCAATGTACATGCCCTTGACCGGAATCGAACTCGGGACCCCTCAGTCCCCAGACCGACGCTCTACCGCTGAGCCAAACCAGTTTCGGCGGCATCAGGCCCTCTTTAATTTCCTACAAGCCTTCCAGTGACATCGGCTTCCACCATGGCCCAGACTGTGGGAAATGACCAGCATTAGTCTCAAGAGAGCAGGCTGGTGGGTGTAACATTTTAGTTAGGCACATGGCTATCCTCAATAAGATAAAGACTGTAAATAAAGAAAGGAGAATGAATATTGGACAGGAAACTAGTCCAGTCTCTTCCATTCAGTGTTAGTGAGTGGGAGGTAAAACATAAAGTAGTGTTTTGTTCAGGCTAAGATGATATAGCGAATTAGAAATGAGTGCATGTTCTTAATGGTTAAATTGGATTTAGACAAATGGTGGAGGGCAAAGAGGGCATGTCTAAATCAGAAAGGGGGTAGTATTTCTAAACCTTATCTGAGCAAAGATAAGGCAAGAGTTGAGACTAGCAGTAGGGAGGGAGGCACTCCTCTGTATTTGGAATGTCTCTCTGAAAGTGTGGCAGGCACAGAAATGCAGGCATGGTTTGGTTACCAATTCTGCTTACCCATCACTGTCTTCCTTATCCTCATAATAACCCAATTTTAGGGATAAGGAAACTGAAGCCAAGACAGACTGAATACTTAACCAAGGTCATGCATCTTTTAAATGAAAGATACCCTGAATTGGGTCTTAGAGCAGACTCCATGTTTTTCACTGACACAAGTTAAATTCATTTTTTAAAAATTTGATTTCAGAGAGAAGAAGGAAGAGGAGAGAGGAAAGCATCAATAATGAGAATCATTGATTGGCTGCCTCCTCAATGCCCTACTGGGGATTGAGCCCACAACCCAGGCCTGTGACCAGGCATTGACCTCCTGGTTCATATAGGTTAATGCTCAACTACTGAGCCACATTGACCGGGCTAAATTCATTTCTTGACTTTGTGATTGGGAAGTGAAGATGGGTAGGTTAACTTCTGCTATTCCTGTATAGTTTCTAAATTCTAAACTTCATAGGGACTTTACATACTCTTCCACTAACTAGTAGCATGACCATGGACATGCTCCTTAACTCCCCTGGATCTGAATCAGCTTCTTTATTTCTCAGGTATAAAACCAACAAAACAAAAAAAGATCTCTAATAATCAGACACAAAAACTCTACACATACTTTTAATCCATGAAATCCTACAATATATAAAATTGATAATAAAGCAGATAAAGTTGGGTTTATGACAGGAATACTAAATTGGTTTAACATCTGAAAATAAATCACTAAAAAAAGAAAGAAACCATATGATTATCTTAATTGCTGCATAAAAGCAAATACATGGTAATTTCCTTCCTCTGAAAGAGTATCTACAAAAAATCTATAGCTAATTTCATACTTAATATGAAAGACTGAACACAGATAACATAGTTGTCTATGTAGAAAATGTGATAAAATCCATAAAAATATTACTAGAAATAATGAGGTTAACAAAGCTGAAGAATACAAGATCAAGACACAATCATGTAGAAATAACCAGAAATAAAAAAATAATATAATAGTATCAAAAATATGAATAAATATGTCAAAAATGTGTAAAACCTATACACCAAAAATTGTAAACTGCTGCTGAGAAAAATTAAAGAAGAGCTAAATAATTGAGAGGCATATCTTTTATATGGAACAGAAGATTCAATATTATTATATCAATCTTCCCCTAATTTATGGAAAGGGCCAATACAATCCCAATCAAATTGTAGAAATTGAGCTGAATCTGAAAGTTATGTTGAAATACAAAATACCTAATGTAACCAAAACACCCTTGGGAAATAACAGAAAAATTAAGCACTGACACTAGCTGATTCCAAGTGTGGCAATTAGAATATTATGGCACTGCTGTAAAGAGAGACAAACTGATGAACAGAACAGAGAAGAACATCCAGAAATAGACCCACACATGGATGAAAAACTGATTTTTGACCAATATTCAAAGGCAGTTAAGTGGACAAAGAGTAGTCTTTTCAACAAATGGTTCGGGAACAATTGGCTATCCACATGCAAAAACAACAGAACAAGAAAAAAACAAAAATAAAAAATTTTGGTATATACAAAATTAACTCAAAATGGATCGTAGACCTAAATATAAAATTAAACAAACAAACAAACAAACAAAAAAACCCCTGTGAAACTTAGAATATAGGGGGGGGGGGAAGTTGAGTTAGAATTTCTTAAATATGCTACCCCTCCCCCCCCCCCCAAAAAAAAGCATGATTTATAAAAGAGAAAAAAAAACAACACACTGGACTTCATCAAAGACACTATTAGGAGATAGAAAAACTAAGCCAAAGTCTGAGGGAAAGCCTTTGTAATACATATATTTGATAAAGGATTTGTATCTAGAATATATAAATAAGTTAATAATAAGAAACAGCCCAATAATAAATGGACAAAAGTTTTGAACAGATGCTTCACCAAAGAAAATATATCCACTGTAGATAAGTATATAAAAAAGGTGTCCACATCATTAGAGAATGCAAAACAATGAGATACTACTACACACTATTAGAAAGGCTACAAATACAGAGGCAGAGAAGCATCAGGCTGTCAAAGTCAGGGGAAGGTCAATAGGGAAAAAAGGAGACATATGTACTACTATTTGTAATACTTTAAACAATAATAATAATAATAATAATAATAATAATAATAAAAATAAAAAGTCAGGATATTCTAGTGTTGCCAAGGATGCAGAGGAACTGGAACTCTCACACCTGCTGATGTGACATTTTTTTGTAATTTCTTAAAAAGTTACACTTACCTATGACCTAGCCACTCCATTTCCAGGTGTTTACCCGAGAAAAGCACGCACCTGTCCATAGACGTGAACAGGAATGTTCCTAGCAGCTTTATTTCCAATGAGGAAAAACGGGAAACAAGGTACTTGTCTACCAGCACGCGACTAGATAAATACAAGTACATTGTGGTATTGGTATACTCATAGGATATTCATCAATGGAGTATTAGCACTAACAAGGGATGAACAACTTACGCTAAAAAAAAAATAAAATAAAACAAAACCATAAAAATGAGTTGAAATATGTCTGCTGAGTGAAAGAAGTGAGACAAAAATCAAGTACATTTCCTATGATTTCACTTATGTTCAAGTCAAGAAAATGCAAACCAATCTCTAGTTCCCTTTATCTGGAATTCTGGAAAATGCCAACAGGCTAGTGTGAGGGTTCGGGCGAAGCGGAGTGGGCACGGGTGGTGCGGGGCAGGGGCAGGGGCAGGGCCAGGGGAGGAGCAGCGGGGGCAGGGCCCCAAGGAGAGGCTGGGAGAAGGGGAGGGGCAATGGAGGGCAGGGGTGGGGCAGGAGAGCCAAGGGAGGGAGGAAGGGAGGGGGCGGGGAGAGGAGGGGGGCGGGGAGAGGAGGGGCGGGGCGGGGCGGGGAGAAGAGGGGCGGGGCGGGGCGAGGAGGGGCGGGGCGGGGCGGGGCGGGGCCTGCGCACGCCGGGCCATGGCGCTCCTCCTCCGCCGGCTCCGGCTGCTCCTCCGGGAGGCGCCCCCCGGGGCTGTGCGAGGCCGCCCAGCTGGTGTCGCCCTCGGCGCGCGGGCGGGACACGGGGACGCAGGTAGGACGCGGGCCCCGCCGCCGCCCCCCGTCCCTCGGGCTTTCCGTGTCCCTCCCGCGACCTGGGCGCCCGGGCGCTGGGCCCGGCGGGGACACGGCCGTGAGCGCGGAGAGGCCGCAGGGGAGGAAAGCGATAGGTCCCCGCCCGGGGCGGGCTCACGTTTAACTTTCTTTTGCGTAAGATCTCGGCCAGGAGCCCCTGGCGCTGGTCGCGGGGCCGCGGGGGCGCCCTGTGCGCGGCCGGGAGCGGACCCCCCGCCGCCGGGCCGGGCGCGCCTGGAAGCGGCGCTCCGGCCCCGGTTCCCGTGGACGGGCTCCTGCTCTGCTTCAGGCCCCGGGGGAACCGCGGCTGAGAGCCCGTCCCCCTCAACTGAGAGCCGTGCTTGTCAGGGGCGAGGCGGAGAGGCAGACCCGAGGAAGGTGGGTATGTATTTTGCAAAATGCCTCTGGCGCCTCTGGCACCTCGGGGAGTCTTTGCATTTCACTCTTTCAGATCTGTTTTCTGGTCATTTCGTGGCCCCCCGAGGGGTGGCTTCCAGGCCATCTCTGCATCCACTTCCGTTCTGTGTCCTCCTTTGAGGACATTTAGAGATACCGAACGCTGCTGAAAATGTTCTCCCTCACTTGGGACTCTTTATTCCTGGAAGTTTTAAAAAATGTGGTGTTATGGAGTCGAGCCAATCCAACATGACTTCCTGTTATGCCCTTCAGAACCCATTGGTGCCTATAATTAGCCAGTCGGACCATGTTTGTTGCCTGCCTACTGTGTGCCAAGCACTGGTTTGCTGAGAACCACCAGTGATGGAAACGTCATAATGGTAGGCTAGTGCTCTCTTACTTCCCTTTATGGGCTGATAACAGTGGTAGGCAAACTCATTAGTTAGAGCCAAATATCAACAGTACGACGATTGAAATTTCTTTTGAGAGCTGAAAACCGACTTTTGCGCATGGGCCACGAAGTTTCAATCGCACTGTACGTGTGCACCCGCACGTGGTATTTTGTGGAAGAGCCACACTCAAGGGGCCCAAGAGCCGCAGTTTGCAGACCACTGGTGGTTTCAGCAGAAACGTGTGTCCTTTATGAATGTACTTGGTGCTGTCAGAAACAGCCTAATGAATTGCCTTTGGGTCTGAAGCTCTTCAGCAACATTAAAATTTGGCCAGACGCCAGTAGGTAGGTAGACCTGTGTAACTAACTCATCAGACATCCCCTCGTAGGCGGTTAGTCTAAGGAAGTTATTCTAAAGGACAAAGCTATGTGCGCAAAGATGTTTTAAGAGCACTGCTTTTAAGAACCAGAAACTGGCTGTAACCTAAATGTCTACACTTAAGGAATTCTTATATAAACCAAGAAAGCTCAACAGACTTTGAAGCTTTAAAAACGATCAAATCCATTAGAAATGATTAACAGGCTTCGGTGTGGACAGTATTCCTTATTGGCTATGTCTTTGGGCACATCTTGAACTTGGTAAGTTTAAACCTGTTCTATAAAATATGGATCATGACAATAATGGGGTTTTGTACAGAACAAACGGGAATCATAATTTAAAATGCTTTATCACAGTAATTGGCACTTAATAAGCACACAATAAATGTTAGTTATGCTTACATAAGTAAATGGAAAGACAGAAATGTAGTTCACATTTGACCTATGTTGTGAACTTGAAGATGGCGGGAGGGAAAGAAATGAGAAGGTACTGCAAGTGACAGAGGACTGTTCTCTGGAGAGAGGACTTCTGATAGACAAAAGGCAAGGCCCTTGTGATTTTGTCATCCAGCTTGAGAAAGAGCACATTGAAGAGGAAAGTTAGGAGTGTTTGGAGAAAACAATCTGATGTTTCAGGAAAGCATTCTTCCTAGAGATACTCTGCCAGGAGACCACCTGAGCCAAAGTTTAAAATGGTCCGATCACTATGGTGGAGAAGGTTAAGTCTACAGATTAGACTGGTTTTGCCCCTACTCCCTAATAATTTCTTTTAGTTTCAACAAGTAGTTATTGAAATGAGGCTGGCTCATGTGTGACAATTGGCAATGTAGCATCTGTGGCCAGAAAGGTTAGCAAAACCAGAAGGAGGTAACCCACTGACTGGCCGTGGACTGGCTCCTGCTCTGCTTCTGGGCGTTTCAGGCCCCGGGGGAACCGTGGCTGAGAGCCCGTCCCCCTAAACAGAGCCGTGCTTGTCAGGGGCGAGGCGGAGAGGCATACCAGTCTAATCTGTAGACTTAACCTTCTCCAACATAGGTCCGGTCACTATGGTGGAGAAGGTTAAGTCTACAGATTTGCCCCTATTCCCTATAGCCAATAAGGAATACTGTCCAGAAGGAGGTAACACAAGAGTGTGTTTGCTTGAAGATGAGAAAACCAAGGTCCCCCTTATGGAACATATGGCCAACGAGAAATCTAGCCTGTGCAAATCACACAGCACAGAGAGAGTATTACTCTGCTCAGGCTGCCATCACAGAACACCATGGGCTGGGTGGCTGAAACAATGAAATGTATTTCCTAACAGTTGTAGAGGCTGCAAGTCCAAGATCAAAATGTCCAGCAGGGTTGGTTTCCCTTGAGGCCCGGCTCCTTTGCAGAGCACCTTTCTTTGTGTCTAAGAGACATCCCTAGTGTCTCTTCCTCTTCATACAGACACAGCAGTCATATTGGGTTAGGGTCCATCCGATTGGCCTCATTTTAACATAATCGTCTCTGCAAAAAATCCTATCTCCAAATATGATTACATTCTGAGATACTGAGGATTGAGACCTATGAAGTATGTTTGGGAGTAGGGGGGATGCACCATTCAGTTCATAACACCCAGCTTAAGCCTCTGCCGGTGACGCAGACCACATATATCCTGATCTGAGAGCGCTCAGCTGGCCATTTGCCATTTGGCTATCAAGGCAGAGTCTGTTCCCCTTGAGACAGTCATCCACACTGGCAGATTGGCGACAAAATGTGGTGTCGTTGGTGCTTGAATTTGTGCTTCATCAACTAGTCTGAACATCGATACCCATCAATGAAACCTTTTCCACACAGTAATAGCGTGAACGGTACATACAGATAAGGATTATTTAGAAGAGCCATGAGAAATGTGGTTTCTTATTGTATTACAGGAAGGCGTAATCATTTTGTTTAAGACTTTAAAATATGTATTTTAAACTAAAAACAATTAGGGCAGAGGAAGAAGGTGAGTGTCTGAAAACAGGTAGGCACTCTCTAACAGTTGAAGTAAGTCATAGAGCTGGGGTGGTGTGGGCGGAGCTGGGAGCTCAAACAGGATTCATGCCTTAGGTTCAAAGTTGAAGCCTGGGAATCCCACGGATCCTGGCCCTTCAGGAGTTCCCACTTTCCAGTGTTACCTGTCATATTGAACTGCATGCTGAAGGACACTAAGGGCGATGCTTCCAGGAGACAATAGGTTTTTTCCTCCGATCCCATCCCACTCCCCCAAAAGGACCTAGGAAGATAATGGCAGCTCTACAGACTATAAATTCCAACCTTAATACCAAAGGTTGACCCTCTACTCCGCTACCCATAGAAATAATGCAAGATCTTTGCCAGAGAATGCACGTGGAGGGGCCTGGCAGCACAGGTATTGGAAGGGTAAGGAAAGTTCTCATCGAGGCGCTCTGTTGCTCTTCTCCTTGATAGATGTCAGTGATAGAGTTCAGATTCCATAAATTCCCCCCTAGACCAGAGTTTATGCTCTAAAAGGAGAAACAGAGACAAAATGCCAGAGGCTGCCATACCTCCATTCTCACTAGCAAAGCCTGTTTAAACTCTACAATTTTTCACCTTCTGATGTGGCCTTTGTGTGACACGTCTCAGCTTAGGTCACTCTGACACACTGGCACTGGTCATCCCTTAGCACCTTGCCCTTGGTTGAAGGCTTGTAAAATGTAGTTATACTAAGGTGACCAGACATTCCGCTTTTGGCGGGACAGTCCCGATTTTTAACAATTTGACCTGCATCTCGCGGCGTTTTAAAAAAGTCCCGATTTTTGGAAAGATTCTTTACAAAAATCGGGACTTTTTTTTTTAAATGCTGTGGGATATGGGACAAATTGTTAAAAATCGGGATGTCTGGTCACCTTAAGTTATACCCATCCAACTACCAGTCTTCTAAGTAGTCTAAAATGGAATGCCTTTTACTTCCCTTATGCTTAAGCAAGTAATTCACATCCATTTAAACTAGTTCTCATCCTATTTGCTCTTAAAGTAGTAAAACAACCCAGCCTAAAATGATTTTAAAACATTTCAACCATCTGTGGGTAGTTAAGCTTGCAGTGCTTTATAAAACTCCTGTATTATTATCTTGCAAAGTTATCTGAAGTTTGTCGTCAGTAAATTTTTCTCAACTTAATTGTTTTCCATATTTGGTGTACTCAAGGTAGAAAATAACTCCACAATTATCCCCTTTCTTTCTTAAGTCGTCAGCTTATCCTCTCCACTGAATTAGTCCCATCAACATCCTAGAATACTGTGATTTTTTCATGTTAAAAAATGCTCTTGACCTGACTTTCCTTTCCAGCTTCCTCTAGACACCATCTCCCTTCCCCTCCTTCTTTTCTTTTATTAAATCTATTCCAATCAGATTCGCCTACACTCCTCCTTTTCACATCACCGGTGAGCTCCACATTGCTAAACTCAGTGGTCAATTATCATCCGTCTCTTTTTTAATCTTTTAACACAGTAGATTATGCCATTTTTCTTAAAATACTTAGAGGCCAGGATACCGCATTCTTTCAGTTCCGTTCCATCTCTGTCCATTCCTCCCTGTCTCCTCAGCCTGCATGTTTGGAGCCTCAGAGTTAAGCCCTTGGGCTCTCTGTTCTGTCTATGCTCATTGACTTTAAATACATCTTACTGCTGCGGAGTCCCAAGTGTACATCTCTGCCCTGAGCCTCTCCCTGAACTCTAAATCCATGTGTATCCAACTGCCTACCTGACCTCTCCATTTGAATATCTAATTGACATTGTTAAACTTCCCTCTAACGCCAAGCTTCCACGCCTGCTGCTTCTGTAGTTTTCCCCTTTGTCCAGTGCACGACCAGAGCCTTGTTGTAGTGGCCTGTGACCCTTTTCTTTCTCTCCTACTCCCTGTGTGACCCATCAGCACGTCCTCCTGCTCTGCCACCAGAATGCTTCTAAGCCCTACTGCCCCCACCCTGGTCCAGTCTCTTCCATCTCTCAGCCATTACCTTCTCTTCACCTTCATACTGATTTCCCAGCTTCAGCCTTTGCCCTGCTTCGTTTTTGTTTTTTTTTAAACATATGTCAGCCACTAATCCTTTTTAAATATTAGGTCATGATATGCCCCTGCTAATCTCTCAGTGACCTCCAAACTTACTCAGAATAAAAGTCAATGTCTACAGTAGCCGTCAAGGCCCTAGCTGATCTGGCTTCATTGCCTTTCTGTTCTCACTCCCAGTAACCTTCCCTTGCTCACCCCACTCTAGTGCCTCTGGTCTTCTTGTTTGTTCATCAGGCATGCCAGGCCCCCACCTGTTTTTCCTCTTGCCTATGTGCTCTTCTTGTACATATTTCCCTGGCATGTTTGTTCATTTCCGTTAAGTCTTAGGTGATACGTCATCTCCTTAATAAGGCTTCTCTGATTACTCTATTGGAAATTGTGTGTTGTGTGTGTACATGTGTGTGTGTGTGTGTATATATATATATATATATATATACACACACACACACACACACATAAATACACACACACACACACATAAATACACATATACACACATCCTCACTCTCTGCTTGCCTTTGTGATTTTTGAAAATCACCTAAAGGTCTATGTCCTTTACTTATTTAGTTCATTTTACCTCTACTCCCTAATGGCAGTAATTCTTATCTGTTTTCTTTACCCCTAAATCCCTAACATTTAGAATAGTATCTGGCATACAGTAGGTAGTCTATAAATATTTGTTGACTGAATGAAGAAATGAATATTAAATGCCAAAGCACTACAATATATTACTAGGGATACAATAAACAAAGATAATTCTTTCAGAAGTTCACCTTCTAATCTGGCTTCTATCTTACTGCTTTTTAGACTCAGTAGACTTTATAGACATCCACACAAATTAGCTCCCCATCACTGTGACTAAATAGTCTATACAGGAAGGACACAGAGGAGGATCTTGCAGCCCCGCCTTGGGGAAGGGGTGGCGGTGTTCAGGGAGGGTCTCCTGGAAAATTACCATGTAAACTGAGACCACAGATTGAAGGCCTCCAGTTTCTGGTCCAGAACATAAGGATCTTGGAAGCTTTGACTCCATCTCACCATCAAGTAAAAAGCTGGGCACACCGTGACAAGTTGTGGGGACTCAGAGGACTGCAGTTCAGAACTGGAGCCACTGTGGAAGAGGAGCTGAAGGTGGTAACTAGGCCCAAACACAGGGCCTTGAGGTCACAGTAAGGAGTTTGGAATTTAACTTGAGTATATTATGTTGCATTGAACAGTTCGGGGCAGTGAGAAAAAGGAAGTGGTTAGGATGGGCAAGGGCATACCAACGAGACTTTTGTAATAATCTGTGCTGGAGATTATGGTGGCCTAATGCAAGGTGGCAGCGGAAAAGTGAGAATGAACGGAGCTAGAGTTATTTAGGAAGTAGCACTAACGGCTTGGTGCAAGGAAAAGGGAAGAATCATGGGTCATGGCCTGGCTTTCTGGTTTAAATGCTGGGCTAGACATGTGAGAAGGGGAGCAGATTTGGGTTGGGTGGGGGAGGTACATAAAGGCCTTTTGTGCATGTTGCTTGAGATGGGACATCCTAGTACAGGTATCCAAGTGTCGATTATACAGGGTGGGCAAAAGTGGGTTTACAGTTGTTGGAATGGAAAAAAGACATGCAGATTATGATTATTATAGTACCTTTATTAACAAAAAATGTCACCCACAACTGTACTTTTCCCATCCCTGTGTATGGATCTGGAGCTCAGCAGAGAGATTGAGGATGGGGAGAAAAATGTATTTTGGGGCCTTGAAGCTACCAGATGGATAAAACCACCCAGGAGGCAGGACGGATAGAGTCCTCTGGAGCACACCAAGATACCAGGGGTGACCAGTGGAGGGGGAGTTGAGTAAAGATACTGAAAAGGAATAATTGGATGCTTAAGAGAATTTGGTGTCATGGAAGCCAATGGAATAGAATATACCCCAAAAGAAAGATGATGGACTGTCAGTATTATCGAGAAGTAAAGGAGACAGGGATGAAGTGTTCCTAGGGACACTTTACTTAGAAGTCCTCCTGATCTGTCCCAGAACAGATTCAGTGCAGTCGGGGGGGGGGGGGGGGATTGTGAGGGGTTGGGGGGTGATGTGTCCCCAGTGCATCACACGCAAGGCACATTATGTGGGCTTGCCCTACTGTTGCTAATGCTAACTTGGCTTACTTGGTTAAGGTGGTGACTTCTTCACTTTTCCATTGTCAGGAATATCTTCTTCTTATAATTAATATTTGGCATCATATTTTGAAAATGTTTGGCTATTCCATTCTTCAACAGTCTTTTACCTAGGGAGTTTGGAATCCCCTGATGATTCTTACTTGAGTCAGTTATTATTTCGGTGATTGCAAAAATGGCGACTTAAACATTTTTATCATTCCTTCTCCACTTATTACTTGGCATCCTGCCTGATAACTCTGAAAGCCACTGACCAGTAATTATTGTCACATAAATACATTTTGTTTTGCTTCCCCAAGAGATGGGTTCCTGAAAAACTATGTGTAATTGAGTTATATTTCCATAGGGATAGAAGTAGTAAGATAGAAGCCAGAGAGAGTAGAAGGGTGGAAACAAAATGTGAACAAAAACTGTGAAGCATTAGAGTAGATTATGGCGGGTCTCAGTTTCCCTTTCAGGAGTATATGCTATAGGAGTCTTTTTTCCTCACAAAAAGATTTTTTAATAAAGACCTCCCTTGCCAAACAAATGCAGAGATCGCTTTGTAAACCCGCAAGGGAAACGAGTTTAATAATCCACTAGCTCAACGTTCTTTTCTCTCCAATCACTCAACGACTCCCAGATGTACCCTGGCAGAAACTTCTCCTTTGAACATACGTAATGGAAGAAGGATCGATTTCTACCCTTAGGTACCTGAGGAGAATTTACTCGGCCTTATTTCATATTTCAGCCGCCTCTTTAGTTTCCTGTGCTCTAGGGAGACTAGAAAACTGGCTCTCTACTGACTACTCATTTCTTATTAAACTAATGACTCAATTAAAGCATTTTGTACCAGAGTTTCTGGTTCCTGGGAAGAATGAAGGAGTGGGAGGGGAAGGGACGGACTTAGTCTGCTGGCTGACAGTGCCCTTTAGGAGACAGGCTGCGGAAGAAAAGGCCATTATGCCTTTTTGGTTTAATAAAAAAAATCTCATTTCACAATGCAGGGTCTCTTACAAAGCATGAGCCTTCTCTCACCAAGAGCGAGTGGCGGAAGAAGCTGACTCCCGAGCAGTTCTATGTCACCAGAGAAAAAGGGACTGAACCGGTAAGCTAAACTGACGGACAGTTTTCTGCTCGCAGGCCTGGAGATCAGGCCCGGGATAGATCTAATCACAAAGCCTAACTCCTCGTCATCTACTCGACAGACCCGGGCCCCTGCCTTGTTCTCAGGCCATTGCTGTCCATCCAGCTGTAGAGACCAGACATGTCACTCTCCACCCTCTGTCTCTTCTGCCTCCCAAATTACCTCCCGCTCACTCTCCTGCTGGCCACTGCTCTTGCTGCCGTGCTGGCCCAGGTTCCCACCCTTGCTCGCCGGTCAGACTGTAGTAATCTCTGACTGTTCTACTCACAGCCACTACTCACAGCCATTCTTGCTCTTCATCTAGCTGTTCCCCACACAGCTGCAGCCAAAAGATCTTCTCAAAATGCAAATCTGATCACATCGCTCCCCTCCTCAAAATCCTTCCGTGGCTCCCGTTGCTTTGAAGGCAAAGAGGAAAGTGTTTAAATAGGTCACAAGAACCTACGGGATCTGACCCCTACCTCCCATCCCCATCCTCAAATCCTGCCTTTTTACCTCCCGATCTCTGCATTTTAACCACCCTGTCCTTTCACTTCTCAAACGCCCTGGGCTCTGCGTTCTCCTTCTCATCAACACTCCCCACCCCCCATTCATTCAGACCTGTATTTCAGCTCTCAGCCCATATTTCATTTCCTTAGGGAAGCCTTTTTTCAGACCCAAGCTGAGTTGGCTTTAACAACCCTTTTTCTTCATAGCATTAGTTATTGTTTGTTTGTTTGTTTGTTTTTTAATATATTTTATTATATATTTTAATATATTTTTAATATATTTAATATATCTTATTGATTTTTTTACAGAGAGGAAGGGAGAGGGACAGAAAGCTAGAAATGTCGAGAGAGAAACATCGACCAGCTGCCTCCTGCACATCCCCTACCAGGGATGTGCCACAACCAATGTACATGCCCTTGACTGGAATCGAACCTGGGACCCTTCAGTCCGAAGACCGATGCTCTATCCACTGAGTCAAACCGTTTTCAGTAGCATTAGCTATTGTTGATGTATTCCTAGCACATAGCATGGTGTCTGGCAATAAAAAATAAATTTTCTGAATGTTAAATGACTGAAGACTAAGAGATGGAAACATTATACATTTCCTGAGAGAACAGGCCTCAGTGGTTCCTTATTATCATATCATTTTTACAGCCCTGCATTTCTTAGCAAGTGGTCTGTCTTAGACCCAAATAGGGGCACTGGAATATAAGTATTGAACATGTTACTAGATGCTTCCATTTGTGAAGCAGACCCCTTAAAGGACCACAGCACAGTGGTTTTTGCAAAGTTGTAGAGATTTATATCTTTACCTTAGCACTCCCGGCAAAGTTCAAGTAGCTGTCCATTTGCATGTGGCCTTATAATCATGGTCTCACCCTCAACTTCTATGCTGCAGTCGTAAGACAGGCCAGCAGATCCCAGTAGTTTTTCATGAAAGACTGGTATTTTTGAAAACTTCCTGTGGGCGGCATTTTAATAAAGCCTTTCCTGGGAAAGAGCCTGTACTCACCGTTATTGCAGGTGGCACAAGGGAGCCTGTGATGCTCTGGGTAGTTGTGTATGTTCCCAGGATATTGTAAGCCCGCCCTAGGCAGAGTTTGGAGTGTTTGCAGAACCTGGAGACGAGTTGCCAGATGTTTAGGAGAATAAATCTGTGAAATTCTCAGACAGATGGTACATTATGTTCTGTGCATGTGGCCATTTCACAAAATGAGCCTCATCCATTACTTTTAACTAATGGTATAAATCCTTTTCACGTGATCCATTGTCACATGTAACTTTTTAGAATATAAGCCTTTGTTGGCTTCATGGGCCTGAGGAAAGAGAAGTAAAATATCTAAGCTTTCTATTTTGTGACTCAAAATTAGCATTGAGTTCCACGTGTTTTCATTGGGCAGCAGTCATCTGCTAGGTGTGGTGAAGGAGTTTACAGCTTGGGTGAGCAGCAGAAGGAAGGCTTTATGCAGGCCCCTGTGTGGCCTCCAGATCTGCTCTCCACTTGGCTTTACCTGCTCTGAGCACTGAGAAGAGTAACCATCTCTCTTGCCCTCTGGCTACTGATTGAGGTGGACCAATGGGAGATGCCGGGAGATGAGATGGCCGGATAGAGAAGTATGAACAATTGAGATGGAAGCTGAATTTAGCCCTAAATATGAGCTGTGGTTTGTATGAAATTGGGGAAGGGAGAGGGAGATGTCAGAAAATCAGGCAAGGAGGCAACTCAGAGATGTTGTTTCATCTAATATGTCAGCTGGGGCTTCCTTTTCATTTCATTTTTTTTTTTTTAAAAACTATAATACCAGTTCTCTGTTACCTTCTCTGTCCAGCTGGTCCCTGTAATGATGCAATTACAAAATTATATATTTTCTAAATATATTTTTATTGATTTCAGATAGGAAGGGAAATAGAGATAGAAACATCAATGATGAGAATCATTGATTAGCTGCCTCCTGCACGCCCCCTACTGGGGCTAGAGACCGCAAACAGGCATGTGCCCTTGACCAGATTCGAACCTGGGACCCTTCAGTCCGCAGGCTTGTGTTCTATCCACTGAGCCAAACCAGCGAGGGCCAAAATTATATTTTTAATGTTATTAGGTTATCTGGATCCTATGAGTAGGTTTTTCTAGATCAGCTTTAGGATTGGGAGCCCTTGGGCTTGTGTTTCTCAGCCGAGGTGGGAGGTATGTAAAACTCCCTCCTGATGATAGGTGCTCATTCACACCGATGTTGGGAGCAAGCATTCAGGGGGGTGGGTCGTAGAACCACCGGGTCACTACGGTTCAGATTTCTTCAGCTACGACGTTTAGGGACTTTAAAGAGGGAAAACATCCAGGCGTGGGCAGATGGTGTGTTCAGTAGGTTTATTTGAAATTGTCCATTATTTAGCTCCCTGGAAATGTGCTGTTAATACCACTCCAGGGAATTTGAATGTTTAACCTGTGAACTTGTTGAGTTGAGAACTCCAGAGTGCACAGAAGAGCCCAACATATTTCCTGATTCAGCTCTGTGGCCCAGTGAGCCATTCTGTACTTCCGCTTCTCTTCCAGCCCATAAAACGAGACAGTGGTTCATAGTTGGCTAGCGAAAGGGTTACTTTTTCTTTAATTTTCCTTGACAAAAAGAATTGGACAAAAATCTTTTTAAAAAAACAAAAACAAAAAACAATGAGATTCATTTTGTAAAACAACATTTAATAAAACATTGACTTGGCTCACTCATTGCTTCAAGGCTCTGTGCTCCACTTAAGAGACCTCTGAAAACCTACAAACTCTTGAGGCCACAGTGAGCATAGCAATTCCATCTAAGTCGTCACTTAGGCACTGGGAGAATTTAGCTCATTATTTAACATTTATTAAGTATGCAGTGTCCTGCACACTACGTGAAGCATATTAAAGGCACAATCCTGATCTCACTGAGCGATACTTTTTATGTATTTATATTCTGTCTTTAATTGGAGATTTCAAAGTGTTTTCACAGAAAGCTATATTCCTGTTTTCTTGACTCTTTTCAAATGGAGACTGAAATCTTACACAATCCAGAGGACTGTTCTCTCCCCTTTTCATGGACTTTGATGTCCCCAGATGAAAGGTGCTATGTAAATACTGGGCATTATGAATGTCATAATTTGAATATTTGGCACAATTAAAGTCTGGATTGTAAATAAGCCCGCAGGCTGCTTCATTGGGGATGTGGTAATCACCTCTCTGGTGGTATTTGCACTTCGTCAAATTAGTACATAAAGTCGTTTATTTGGAAACTTCATCTTGGATTTAAATCTATTATATTATCTCCTGTTGGTGTTATGAGAAACCTGAACATAATGGGTCTAATTGTCTTTCAGCCTTTCAGCGGGATCTACCTGAATAACAAGGAAACAGGAATGTATCACTGTGTGTGCTGCGACAACCCCCTCTTCAGGTGAGATCAAAGACCAAGCGATCCTGAAGGGCAGCAGACTTCTAAGGTCCTTCAGCTCTGCCTCATTTGAGGCCCTGAATGAAAACGTACCCGTGTTGTTTTTAATTGTCCTTCTCATCTGGCATGGTTGCTATAAGGAGAGCTATTTGTATCAGATACTTGCTCGTCTTAATTATTTCTAGGATTTAGAGCAGTAAACAAGACTTCTTAGCCTATTTTCATTCTTTCTGTATTATTGAGAAATAGCAAGATAATAAATCTTGGTGGGCACCTTAAGAGAAAGCTATTAGTTTGTTCCTGGGAAAGTATTTAAAGAAATCTAAACCATAATAGTATTTGCTTGGCCATGTGATTAAAACTATATCTCTCCCAGGGAAAATGGGTTTATAATCCAATTTAGAAAATGTAGAATTTTATGAGGACAGATTCCCCACAATGCTTGATAGTAGTGAATACCATGCCTCTTCTATGTAGCTGAAAGTAAATTTAATTGTCCCTTGATTTCAAAGCCCCTTTTAAGTCAATCAGGATCTGAAATCTCTCAACAAAGACTTTTTTGTTTAGACATGCAGGAAACAGTTTAAAAAAAAGAAGACTCAGTGGAAAAGAAAGGAAAACATCTTTGAAGTTTTGTTTTTCAGAACTTCAAAGATGTTGTTTTCTTTTTGCATCAACCCTAAATTGGTTTAGAATAAAATATAAATCAAGCCAGTTCTGTGAGTCTTCCATTAGGCAGTGCTTCATTCTGTCCTTTGGGCTTTGAGCAGACTGGGTTTTCTTGCTAATGTGAGCTGAATTTGGAAAGCCAGACCCGCCTTCAAGAATGAGAAACAATTAAGATTGATTTTCCTTTGTGCTCATGGAAGGCAGGCCTTTGCCCAGATCCATTCATTCTGTCAGTAGCCCGTGAGGAGATATCTAAGATGGCAGTCAGACCAGGATGGCCTGGGACCACTAAGAGGCAAAGGTTAATTTTGACACAGTAACGGGTGCGTATTCTGAGACATTAATTATGCCATGACCTTTGGTCCCATTAAAGAGGAGGAGTGGGACCTTGAGAGGGCCAACCCGCTTTAAGCCAAAGAACCATTTTGTAAAAGTATCAAGGACGGCTTTGTCACTCTATGGCAAAAAGACATGTTCTGTTTCTGTCTTTGGACTGTGAAGACGAAAGATTGTTATTATTTTTGTTGTTAATCCTCACTGGAGGATATTTTTTTCTGTTGGTTATTAAGAGTGAGTAGAAGGGAGGGGGAAAGACAGGAGAACAGTGTGATAGAGCTACATTGACTGGTTGCTTCCCACACACACTTCCCTGTATGTGGAGGGCTGGGGATAGAACCGGTAGCCGAGGTATGTGCCCTTGACTGGAATCCAACCCAAGATCCCTCAGTCCATAGGACAACACTAACTACTGAGCAAAACTGGTCAGGGTGAAGATAAAAGATTAGATAAAAGCTATCCTTGTAAGAACATTCTCCTACATTTTTTTCTTCTTCTTTTTTACTTCATTGATGATCTAGTTTGTGCAGTAGTAAAGGTGAGACCTTCTTCCTACACAGTGCCTACCATCCACTCACCACATAGTTCAGGCATGGACTCCCAGAATGTTGGAGCAGGGAGGATCCAGGAGACCGGAGCAGAAAGCTCTGTCCGGTATAACTTGCTGATACAAATGTTCTATATCTGTTCCATCCAGTATAGTAGCCACTATTCCCATGTGGCTATTGAGCACTTGAAATGTGGCTGATGCCACTGAAAAACAGAATGTTTTATTTTATTTAATTTTAACTAATCAATAAGGCCACATGTGGCTAAGCTACTGTATTATCACAGTGGTAGTCCAAGTTAAGGAAGTTGAATGACCAGCCCCAGGTCACTAACATAATGAAGCAGGACTAACAAGCCAGCCGATTCTCCAAAAGCCTATTTACCAGGTGGCCAGTTTCCTGAACTGTCAGTTTGCCAATCATATTTGTTTCTTTTCAATCACTTAATTTTAGTTGGAAAGTTTTTATTTTATTGTCTTAAGGACTTTTGAGTTTGTTTCTGTTCCATTTTCCTTCTGCGGCCAAGACTAAGAGAAATAAGAATAGATTCATAAGAATCATTTAGGTTCCAGAATATACTCTTTTTATCGATGCCTGTGTTTATGGTGTAGCAGAGTGGATAAGGCTGCCAAGATGTACATCCTGGCTCCATTACCCTATGATCTTGGACAAGCTTCTTCTTTTATTTTTTAAATATATTTTATTGATTTTTTTTTTTTTTATAGAAAGGAAGGGAGAGGGATAGAGAGTTAGCAACATTGATAAGAGAGAAACATCGATCAGCTGCCTCTTGCATACCCCCTACTGGGGATGTGCCCACAACAAGGGTACATGCTCTTGACTGGAATCAAACCTGGAACCCTTGAGTCTGCAGGTTGATGCTCTATCCACCGAGCTAAACCAGTTAAGGCTTGGGCAAGCTTCTTAACCTCTCTCTGTCTCAACTTGCTCACCTGTAAAATGAGTATGGTGTCAGTACTGAATTTATAAAGTTATTGGGAAGATTAACTGAGTTATGAGTTAAGAAATGTAAGAGCATCAGAGCAATGCCTCACACGTGCCAAGCACTCAATACTAACAGCAGCATTAGCAGTGACAGAGATAGATCCTTTTTAGGGCTGTATGCATGAGTGGATCTGATAATGAGGCATTCTTGAGAATGTATTCTGATTAGTGAGAACCTATAAATGAAGACTATTCTTGAACATGCTTCCCATTTAAGAAGGTAGTCTTGGGAATTATTCTTGTTTTGCCTCTCATTTCCCCCTCTTTGTCCCCAGTTACCAGCCTTAATAATAGGGAGTAGGGGTAGAGAAAAACACACATTCCTTCAAATATTTGTACAGAGTCAAAAGACGGTGAAAAGATGGCCAACCACAGCTAAATAGTTAGAGTCAAGTGGATGTGGGACCACTGCCTCTGGGTGGATGGGTTCATTGCTGCCTGCAGACTTGCCTTCACATGGAAACAATCTGGTGCAGATTCTGGGAGACCTGCTGACTCTCCAAATCAGAGACCTTTAAATCAGGGTTTCCCAGGGTCGAGAACACTCTCAGGATGTTATCACTCCCCTGGGACTCCAGACTGTCGCTTTGTGACGTTGCCCCCTCCCTACCCCCTCCATTCACCTTCCTTCTCCTTCCCTCCAGACACCAGTTTTGGAAGTGTGTACTAAAATTTACTGTGGTCGTATTTCATGGTCATAAATCTCAGGAGAAAATAGAGCCTGATATTAGTTCCCTTCTTTTTTTAAATCCTCACTTGAGGATATTTTTTTCCATAGCTTTTCAGAGAGTAGAAGGGAGAGGGGAGGGAGGGAAAGAAGATCAGTGTGAGAGAGACACATCGATTGGTTGCCCCCTGCGTGCACTATACCCTTACTGAGTAAGAAACGAACCCACAACCCAGGTATCTGCCCTTGACTGGGAATTGAGCCTGCGACCCTTCAGTGCACAGACCAACACTCGAGCCAGTGCTTAGGGCTTAGTGTCCTTTTTATGTAGCATCTGATGTCCTTCACGTTGCCAGTAACTAATATTGTTTAAAACCCCCTTTTTAAAAATTCAAATTCTTTCAAGTTAACAGAAATTTTTCTAAGATACTACTAGGGTTGTCAGTGATCACCAGATGCCTGTGCTATTGGTTTGGAGGCTTTAGAACTTTCAGAAATGAATAATAAATGAAAGAGTGTATGAGAAGCAGTGATCCAGAGTGGTTTTGGTTTTCCAAGGGTGAGCCTTATAATCTGCTAATTATTTCATTATGTATATTAGAATTCTAATTGGCCTTAATCTTTAGGTTCTCAATCTTAAATTATGTATGATGGCCCTCTCTTATTACTTGGCAAAATCTCCAGATTCTGTTAATTGCATCAATAAAGGTTTATTGTTTCCCATAAAATATTTTAAGTGACTTTTTATTAGTTTGAGATTCATTCATTAAAAAAAATTTATTGTGTTCATAATTCTCCACAGAAATTCCTTTACTAATCACTAGTTTATATATAATGTTGAGAGTTGAAAGGATATATTTATAAGATATTTTGAGGTGTTTCTCTCTGGGCCAGAGTGGCATGGATGGATATTTTTGAACCTTTACAAAAGGATTGTAAAGAACTCAACCTGAATATGCAGACACTTTTAATTGGACCCCCACTTGTTCTAATGTCTTGGATAATAATGATGATATTAAAAAAATACTAGCTACTGACTTAAATACCAAATGTCTGACACTAGGCTATATAGAAAATATCTCAGCTGGGCTCCTCTGTACCCCTGTGAGGTAATGATGCCATCACTAATCTATTGATCAGGATGCTAAGGCTTTAAGAAGCTAAATAACTTTCCAAGGTTACATAGATTTAATAGAGTCTGGATTTAGCAGAGTCTGGATTTGCACCCAAGTCTTTCAGGAGACAAAGCCCTTACTCCTCAAAGTCATACCTGTGGTTCTCAAAGCCTGGTCTGAGGGCCCCAGGAATTCCTGGGACCCTTTTATGGGACCTCTGAGGTCCTCTCTTCTCTAACTACATATTTGCAAGGCCACGCCTCTTCCTGCACTTCGCTCAGAGCAGCACTGCAGCAGGTTGAGTGCAGAAGCCCATATAAAGGTTCCATTGCCTTTAGGTAAGCCAGACATTAAAGAGATTTGCAGAATTGTAAATTAATGCAACTCTTTTCACTAAATGTTTGTTCCATTATGGCAAATATGACCATCATCTTAAAAATTTTATTTATATTATGTGATGAATTTATTGTTTTTTTAAATAATGCATGCATATTTTTAAAATTATCAGTTTTTATAATTTGTTAAATATTGATATATATAACTCATGTAAACAAAAGCTCTCAGCAATCCTCAATAATTTTTTAGTATTAAAGGTTCCTGGGACCAGAACATTGGAGAATCACTATGTTATATTAGCTGTTTCTGCCAAGAATCATGCTCTAAACTGAGCTTCCTTCCCTGTTCATAGTCTAAAGCAGTGGTTCTCAGCCTTCCTAACGCCGTGACCCTTTAATACAGTTCCTCCTGTTGTGGTGACCCCAACCATAAACTTATTTTTGTTGCTACTTCATAACTGTAATGTTGCTACTGTTAATGAATCGTAATGTAAATATCTGTGTTTTCTAATGGTCTTAGGCAACCCTGCGAGCAGTTCTCAACCTGTGGGTCGCCTAAGACCATCGAAAACACAGATATTTACATTACAATTCATTAACAGTAGCAACATTACAGTTATGAAGTAGCAACAAAAATAATTTTATGGTTGGGGTCACCACAACATGAGGAACTGTATTAAAAGGTCACGGCATTAGAAAGGTTGAGAACCACTGGTCTAGAGATTTGATTAGCCAGATTTTTCTTTTCAATTTGCTCAGCATTTTTTTATTTTTTGCAATATTTATAACTCATTTCTTCTCATATTTTCCTTAGAGCCATCTCTCTGCCATTTAAAATGTAAATATCTATTTTCCTGGTGCTATTTCAGGGAGCTTCTCTGTTAAAGCACTTAGAGAGCAGGCGGGTCTTAGGTGGGCAGATTGATTGTTGCGTCCTCTGGCAGGCTCTTCTTGCCTCCCCAGCCTTCAGCACCACCGGTCCCTGTGGGACTCCCCCAGAGGGTCAGCTTCACTGCAGTGACTGACTTGGAGTGACCAGGCTTATTAATTAATAATGATAATCACAGCGAACATTCTTTCATAAGCACATTTCGTATGCTCCACAACGTAGCTTTTTAAATTCTCAGAACACCTCCCGACGGTAGATTAAACCCCCTTTTGCAGATGAGGAAACTAAGGCTGAAAGGTGAAGCAGCTTGCCCAGTTCCATGCAGCCAGGGAGTGGCGGGGTCAGATCGTGGATGCTCACAGGTAGCCAGGCCTCTGTGTGTAGATGTCCCAGAGTTTCTGTCGCCAAAAGTGGCTGCTTCATCAGACCTCACGCTTCTCTGACAGGCCACGCTCCATATCCCCTCCTTCAACCGCTGCTACTTCACTTTGATTTCCCCCTTTTCTGCATTTGCAACACATGGGTTTAATCTGTTTCTTAATATGCAACACAGTCCCCAAAGCTCCTTGTTGGACGTTGAGAAGGAAACCTTTAACATCAAAGAAACTGATGGGACAACATTTTTCATAGTGAGGGTACAGCGGGCAAAATCCTGTGGAAATATTGTCATGTCACCGGCCGTGGGATCTGGCAGAGGAGGGAGGGAATCAGATCTGCTCACATAGAATAAGGAGTCGGGGCCCATGAGGCGAGGCTCTTGGTGTGTGAATAATGGTCATGTTGGGGATGACTTCCTTAGTTCTGAGAAAAAGTTCTGCTCTGGCACCGGATGGCCTTCGTTTTCTGAGGCCCACGGCACGTCTGGCTCCGATGAAAGCAACGCAGGAATCCTGAGACGCGTGGACACCTCCTTGGGAGTAGCTCGCACAGAGGTTGTCTGCAAGCAGGTGAGTTTCTTGGTGCTGTCGGTCAGGTTTTCCCTGATGCTGTCCCAAGTGCCACAGAGAGCTCCCATGTCCGTGTCCTTGGCATGTCTAGTTGTCGCTGAAGCACATGGGATTTCTATTCGTGGAGCTTCTGATCCCTCCCTCCCCTCATGCTGGGCCGAGCAGAGAAGAGAAAGAGCCTCCTCAGCCCCCCCTGAGAAGCCTGTCCTGGATCTAGCCTTCCAGAGCTGGGAGCAGAGTCAGGATCAGAAAGAAAGAGTTGGCCCTATACGTTCTTTAGAACAAGGACAGGCGGCAAAGGCCCAGTGTGCTTGGCATCTCCCCACCAGGCAGTGTGTCACGGACAGATTGATACGGTAGGTGACATATGCTTGTGTGCGCAAATGTTCTGGTGGTGTACAACACCGGAGGCAAGCAGATAAGTAGACCATAGTTTTATTTTTAATAAAATATTATAATAATAATAATACACTGGCCACAGTCACATCATCCAGGAGTGCTTATCCAGGAATTGTGTTAATGCTTTATAGGCATATCAAATAATCACCAACAGCTCTCTTAAATAGATACAATTCTCATTCCTGTTTTATGGATGAGTAAATCAAGGCCTAAGTTCAATAATGTGCTCACATTCTCTCTGATAAAACTGAGGGCCATTTACCACCTCTGTGCTCTACATATTTTCATCTCTCTTTTTAAAAAAATATATTTTATTGATTTTGTACAGAGAGGAAGGGAGAGAGATAGTTAGAAACATCGATGAGAGAGAGTCATCGGTCAGCTGCCTCTTGCACACCCGCTACTGGGGATGTGCCCACAACCAAGGTACATGCCCTTGACCGGAATCGAACCCGGGTCCTTTCAGTCCCCAAGCCAATGCTCTATCCATTGAGCCAAACCGGTTTCAGCCATATTTTCATCTCTTAATCAGACTCCATGGACTTTCCCCCACACAGATGTTGAGCACAGGGTGGCCCCTCGGGTTCATCTGACTGCTTTTACATAAAGATCTCTTTCTTGGTGGAGAAATGACAGGCTTCTCTCCTCTGCAGTGCGAAGCTCACCTCGGCCACGTGTTTCCTGATGGACCCGGGCCTGCTGGTCAGAGGTTCTGCATCAACAGTGTGGCCCTGAAGTTCAAACCGGGGCAACCCTGACTCCCTCCAAGAGTCCCTTTCCCTTGCCGCTCCTTCACTCACACCCTCACTTTTTAAATTCCTGCGACTGACTTGTTTTATTTAAATACCAAACTGGGCTGCATCTGCTGCTGGCACCAAGCAAGTCAACCTCTCTAATGTATCTATCTGGAACGAACTCTCCCCTGACTCCTGCTCTGACTGAGGAATTTCACAGAATGTCAGAAGGGCAGCCATTTCCAGCCACTGACTTCGGTGGGCTCTGCCTGGGATGCGAGGGCATGACTCTTTGGGGACTTTAGGAGGCTAATGGGCAGTAAGCCCCAAAATTCCTACAAAACTTCCTTGAACTTTCCATTGCAGTTAAGTCCTTCATGGATGTATATACATGAGGCATTGAGTGAAAAAGTGGAAGGAAAATAAGGGATTAATCAACAATCCAGCATTGAGAGAAGTCCACAGGAGTAGATTGTGGAAGAGTGTGATGTGGGAGGCACCTATGGTGATGGATGGGGCACTTGATGCTTTAAAACATTTTTGGAATCTCTTAAATATTCTAGTTCCAATCTCCTGACCCTCAAATAAGTTCTAATGGGAGCTTGTTAGGTTTCAGCAATAGTGAGTAAAAATGCATACTATACTTTCAAATGTTCAAATAAAAACCAACATTTGTTCGCTTTTTGTCCAAGTCTCTGAATTTGCTCTTTTATTTAAAAAAATGACTTAAGTCAAATGCCAAAAAATAATTAAATCACATGGTCATAAGCATTTGTTTTTACTAACATGAGTGGCAACTAAAGTGAGAGTCTTGAATAAATTGAGAGTCTTGAATAATTTGCTATTGCATGTTTAAATCATTTTCTTTGGGACTTTATGGGAAGAAAAGAAAAAAATTATTCCATTTTTTTCTTTATTCACTTGTAATGCATTATTCTGCTTTTAGTGGTTACCTTGGAAATCACAGTATGCTTGTTATAGTCATGAAAATTATTACTTTTTTTACTTTTCTAAGAATGCTAATCTTTGAACACTTTAAATTCATGAATACCCTTCCATATTTTATGTTACTATTGTCATGTATTTAACTTTACACATATTTTAAATCCCACTAATTATTATTAATATGTACATGTCAATATCATTTATATTTATCTGCATATTGCAACTCTCCGTTGCTCTTCATTTTTTCTTGATATTTCATGTTTCCCTGTATAATTATTTCCCTCTGCCTGAAGAACTCCTTTTACATTTTTTTTTTTAGTTCATGATTCCTTGTGGTGAATCTTCTGTTTTTATTGGTGAGAAAAATGTATTTATTCTCCTTTTATTTTTTAAGCTTTATTAAGAAAATAATTATAAAATTTGTACATACTTAGTGTATAAATTTTTATAAATTTGGTCTCCTTGCATTTTTGAGGAATTATTTTCCTTGAATATAAAATTCTAATTTTGGAGAAAATTTATTTTGGTATTTTAAAGTTTTATTCCATTGTTTTATGGCTTCCATTGTTCCTTCTGAGAAGTCAGCTGTCAGTATTATTGTTGCTCCTTTGAAGGTAATGCGTTCCCCTCTTTCCCAGCTGTTTTTGTGAATACCTATTCTTCTTTGATTTTTAGAGTTTACAGTGTGCTCTGGTGTAGTTGTCTTTGTGTTTATCATGCTTTGGATTCATTGAGCTTTGAATCTTAGGTTGATATTTTCATTAGTTTTTGAAAATTATGTTATTATCTCTTCATACTTGCTTTTTTTCCTACTCATTTTCCTTTTTTTCTGGAACTTGAATTACACAAATTTTAGACTACTTCCACATATCTTTAAGGCTCTTTTCTGTGTTTTTCTCATTCCTTCACATTTCTATACTTCAGTTTGAAAATTTGCTGTCAACATGCTCTCTAATTGACCAGTCTCACCTTTTTGCTTTCCTAATCTGTTTTTAAACAAATCTTATGTGTTCTTAATTTTAAGTGTTGCACTTTTTTAGTTCTAAAAATAACCATTTGATCCTCTTTTATTAATTCCAATTGTCTGTTGAAATTTTTCCTAGGTGTATTTTTCCTTCATATTTTATAATTTATTCCTTGCTTTTGAGAATATCTATGAGGTTTTTGTTTGTTTTTGTTTTTTTTAATTGAATTTCAGATACTATGTATTTATAAAATATTGCACTCCCAGCTGATAATACCTTTCACTAGAGGATATACTTTTCTCTGTGCTGAGTAGAGTGGTAACCAGTTGTTTAAATTCAATCAAAGACTGAATTGTATGTCCAGAAGTTGTTTGTACACCTGAAAAAGTTAGGTTTACCTGTGTTCACCCCTGACCTGAAAGTCAACTGAGAGCCTGTGTGTTCTGTGAGGCCCTTGTCCTAAAACACTTTGGATGTTAATCTTTGCTCACAAAAATGATGAAAAGCAATACTCTGTTTTTCAGAGACTTTCTACTTAGGGTTTAGCATCTCGACCCACACAGATCCCATATTCATCCAATGTACTACAGTAGGAGCAAAACTAGCCATTTACTTTGAGTTCCAAGTCTGCTTAGTGTTCTTATTTCTGTGTCCCTAGCAGATGCCCTTTGTGCGAACAAAGCCCGGATTCTCAGACTCTTGGCAGAGTTTACAACTGACACATGATCCCAGGATAAAAGTGGCTCTTGGGGGTTCTTCCCTCCCTGGAGTTATGGTAGGGAGAATAATGACTCTCCAAAGGCATCCAAATTCTAATCCCCAAGAAGTGTAAATACGGTATCATTCATGGTGATTATAATGTATTTGTGATGGGAATAGGTTACAGAACTTGATACAAGGAGACAGATTATCCTGGATTATCCAGGTAAGTCTGTTCTAATCACATGAGGCCTTAGAAGTAGAGAACTTGCATGACTGAGGACAGAGAAAGATGTGATGATGGCAGAATGGTCATTGCTGGCTTTGAAGATGGAGGAAGAGAACCAGAAAAGGAATAAATACAGATTCTCCTGTATGAATGCAGCCCTACTGACTTTTTTTTTTTTAATCTCAGTGAGTCTCTATTCTCACAGTTACATGAGATAAATATGTATGTGGGTTTTTTGTTTGTTTTAATCCCTCACCGAGGATATGTTTTCACTAATTTTGTGAGAGAGAGGAAAGGAGAGAGAGCGAAACATCGATGTGAGAGAGAAATATTGATCAGTTGCCTCCTGCACGTGCCCCAACTGTGGATTGAATCTGCAACCTAGGTATTTGCCCTGACTGGGAACCAAACCTGCAACCTTTTGGTGAATGGGAGGATTCTCTAATCAACTGAGTCACCCAGCCAGAGCATATATGTGGCTTTTTTTTTTTTTTTTTTTTTATGACATTGTGGTTATTTGTTACAGCAGCAATAGAAAACTAATACAGGAGTGTTGGCCCCTTTAGTTCTTAATACTGCAGAAGATTTCTGTTGCCTAAAGAGAGGTAATTTTCATGTTTTTGTTTATCTGTTATAGTTTTTCTGGATGAGAGTATACCTGGTATGCTGCTAACTACTCATTGCTCCTGGATAATAACCCACAATCTCAGTTTCCAGTTTTAACTTTGCCCTCACAAACATCCATGAGAGGAAGACAAAGACAGTATTTTTATTCCCATTTTACATTTGAAAAGTTCAGGAAGGTTAAATGAATTACTTAAAGTCAGATAATGGGTAAGAAGCCAAGTCAAGACTACAAACAGCACTAGTACAGGTCTCCGGACCCCATTATTCTAGTTCCTATGACCCACCATCAGAATCAAGGATTCCTTGTATCCCCAAAAATTATTTACTTATAGTAAAATGCACTTATTTTAAAATGTACAATTTGATGAATGTTAATAATTTTATGCAATGACATAAACTCTACCACAAGTTTTCAGATCATGAGTAATATAAATGTCTAATCACTATGTTGTACACTTGAAACTAATATAACTAATATGTCAACTGTAATTAGAAAGTAAACTCATTTTTAAAATTCATATTAATTTTAAAACATGACATTAATAACATACTTAATATTAAATATTAATGTTAAGTACTATGAATAAAATATTAAATAAATATTGACTCCAATACAATTCAGATGCTAAGCACTCAGAGTTAGCATCCACTCCAGTTTGGGGCACAGTCTCCAGTGACACTGCCCTTATGTCAAAAGCCATCTGCAAATTTGGGGGACCCTAGATTACCTGCACTTCTGACCAACTGGGCTTCAAATTTAAAGGTGCTCCTACCACCTCCCCTTGGGTGCAATAATTTGTTAGAAAGACTCACAGAACTCAGGAAAGTGCTATGCTTACTATTACAGATTTGTTCTAAAGGATACTTACTAGTTAAGACCAGTCAGTGAAAGGACTTACAGGTTGAGATCCCAAAGCAGAGCTGCTGCACCCTCTGCCTAAGGAATCAGGACGCATCACTCTCCAGCATGTGGATGTGTACACCAACCGGGAACTCATCCAAGCCTCAGTGTACAGTTTCCTTACATAGACATGACTGATTGAGTCACTGGTGTGTGGATTGAAGCCACCTCCATTTCCACTTCCCTACCCAGTGGTCTGGAGCTCAGGCTGATATTATGTGCCTCAAAACACCTGAGGTTGGGTCTGAGTCAGGAATGGAAGAGAGGATCCCCTTTTAGAGCCATAGGGTGGTCATTTCCACTTTGTCCAGGCCATTCATAGTCCCTGGATCCTAAGGCCAATTCTTCAAAGAATGGGTAGTCCTTGAGAGAACCAAGATGGTGGCATAGGTAAACATCTATGCTTGCTGCCTCTCACAACCACATCAAAATTACAGCTAAAAGGCAGAACAAGTACCACCCAGAACCGCAGGAAAGATGTCTGAGTGGAAGTTTCACAACTAGAGAGGTGAAGAAAGCTCAGAGAGACTGATATGAGGTACAGAAACGAGGAAAGTGCTGGCACCTGGATATGTTGCTCTTTAAATTTGGAGGGAGATACAAGCTCCTGCTTGCTCTGAACTCCAGTTCCGTCTGAGTCTCTAGGGATCCAGACACA